CCTTACAAAATTACAGAACTGTGGCAATTATGTGGAATCAGCCAACAAATGTTACTATTTGTCATTTGCTAATCAATCACATAATATAGCAACTGAAACCCAAATGTCAGGGCAACACAGTATTTCCCTGATGTACCTGGAAGATTTCCATTGTCATCCACGTCATCTATACTAGCTCCCCATCTGACAAGAAGCTGCAAACAACCCAAGCGGCCATGAAAAGCAGCATAATGAATTGGCTTCCAATCATTCTTATCTGAAACATTAGCATCCTAGAATAAAAGGAGTAGGTTCATTCACTTAGTTTGTTCATGTGTCAGTGGAAGAACTTGTACAGCCCAGATTAACTCTGAAATAGAAACTAGGTATTCATATTCTTAATTAGTTAAATCAGGGCTGTCCAACTTAGTGGCCAGAGACCATACAACACAGGGGCTTCACCAGCAGAGGCCATGGACCCCTCACCTCTCTGGCTGCAAGCTCCCCCAGCACCATGTGAATCAGCAGCCCCCCTTACTTCCTTGGCTGCAGGCTCTACACTGACCTGAGTTACCCAGCCCTGCTCCACCCCGTGGGCTGGGGACAGGGAGTGAAAGCCAGGGAAGAGATGGGGAGCACCTGGAGTGATGAGAGGAGTGGTGGACAGAGAGAGCCTGGGGGCTGCAGGTTTTAACCCTACACGCAACCCAAGGACCACCAGTTGGACAAACCTAATTTAAACCAAACCAAAAGAGCCAGGAAAAAAAATACATAACTTCTTTATTTGATTGAAATAATGATACTACTATGAACATAATTCCCGCTGGAGGACAGACATCCTTCTTCATAAGTGTGTTATTTATTTCAATAATTCATGCATAAACATACATACTAGGAATGTCCTGGCCATGTTTTTGTTGCTCACTATATGTTGGTGCTTACATCTGTATTTTAAAGCTAAAATTTTCTACGATTGAAAAAGATTTTTTATCATCAAACTTCTGATCTCCCTCTAGTGATACCACCATCCATTGATTCTCTTAAAATTCTTTGAGAACTTTTGTTATGTCTCACAATTAATAACTAGACCTTAAGCTAAAATAAACTCTCACAAACAACTGCTAAACTATAGATCAAACCTTACAATCCCAAATCCATTAAAAAAATTAACAGGAATTTTGTTTGCAAAGGATCACAGAATTTGGTTCTGTTCTAGGAAGCTCTGATGATATAACTGAAGTCTACACTGTCTCAAGATTAAAAGTTCCTCTTGGGAGATAAAATTGCCTTACCACTCCATTGCGGAGAATCGTCTGTAATGTGTACGACTGACCATGAGCTGCAGCTAGGTGTGATGGAGTACGTCCTTTGTCATCTTGAGCTTCTAGATTTGCTCCATTTATAACTAAAGCCTAAAAGCAGAGAGCAGTTAGCTATGTTAGTCTGAAGTCAGACACAAGGCCAGGTTGAGATGCACTTTACAGATTACAAACAGGCCTAGTATTTGTCTCAGGATTAAACCATTTTATCCCATGACCAAATGTGATGATTCAGATGTCCATGTCCATTGTCCTTGGATAAATTCTAAAAAGATTCACAGGATAAGATGTGCTAAGTTTATCCCAGGACATCACAAAGTGCATCTGAACCACTGTCCCAGGATTGCATAACTGAATCAATGGCAGAAAAGCAGCAGTGAATTCAGCCACTCACTAAACTCTTATGAGAAGGGCCAGATGTGCATGCACCAATCCCGGGATATTTCTGTTCTGGGACAAACACAGACACAACTGTTACACAAATTGCCAATCGTTCAAATCACAAGCGAGATCTTATGAAGGAGAATAAGGCAAATGCCGCATTTATTAAGCGCTTAATGCACACATACACACCACATTCATACCCCAATTTCTGTTCTCCACTGGTATACGTTACCAGTCTTATCAGTGCTCGGATCAACTTAGGGGCCAGCCAAGTTGATCACAAGTAGGAGCTGGGCTCCTGCCGGTCCATCTCATCAGACGAACCAATGCTCCAGGATGACATGCAGAACAAGACCCAAAATTGATATGTCTCGCCCCATCTTTTATAGTCTTGTCAATTCACCCAGTCCTGGGTTATCGCTGTGTTATCACTGTGTTCTTCCTTGAAGGTCAATTCCCGTTGTTCTCTCACTGTTCTGGGCCAGATTCTTCTTGTTTTGGTTTTCTGTCTGCATTCTTCAGCCAGTCATCAGCTGATGTTTTCCTTTTCCACAAACATGCTCTCACCCATTCTCTCACACATGCAGCACACAAAGGTCGAGCACTTATGTCAAGCTACAAAGGAATACAAAATAGTTTCTTAAGGCGATGCAAAACCCAAGAAAATACATAAGCTTCAAAGCAATAGACAAAAAGTCTATTTGTATAACACAACTTGTCCAGGGACAAATGCAACATCTTTTCCTATCCACAGACTAACTAAATCAGAGATCCATCTATGTCCTTTCACAGCATCTGATGAAGTGAGCTCAAACTCACAAAAACTTATGTGTCTCTGATTTAGTTAGTCTATAAGGTGAATCGCCACCCTGCCTAAAGCTTAAAAGAATGCAAAAATTTAAATTCACTTTACAATATTAAAAAGAAAGAGTCGCCTAGGAGGATTACTTTAAAGGTGTATTTCTGAAGAAGGAAGAACTTAAAAAAGCATCAATAAACTCTTCCACACTATAATCAGTATAGTGTGTTCCTCCATCTGTCCAGGTTGTACCCACTTGTTGCTACTTGTCTTTAACTTAGATTTTAAGTTTTTTGGAGTGAGGATCATCCTTACATTCTGCGTTTGCACAGGGCCTTGGACAATGGGTCCTGGTCCATGACCGACATAACAAGCCATACCAGAATACCTATAATTAGCAACAATTAAAGCAGAGACAAAATGCCTCCCATTTGTTAACTGTACATACCTATAATTCTGAAGAGTAAGCTGCAACTATCAAGCTACATAAGGGACCTGGATGTCAATTTGGCATCCTGATCCTTTATGCAAATCCCACTCATGGTGGCTTTTGTTTTCAGACCACTGGAGCACACCCTCAGCTCCTGTAAAATGTCATAGATGATCCCCCCACAATGGAGCTGTGGCCATTACAGCAGCAGACAACCTGCTGTATTGACTTTTGGTTGATGGCAGACAACTATACTTACTTGCATGCAAGCATCTTGGCCTCTGATAGCGGCAAGGTGAGCTGCTGTCCAGCCTCTGATAGTTGTATCTGTTATATTAGCTCCATGCCAGAGCAGCCAGTGAAGACACTACCAACCAAAACAAAGTCAAAGGCATTCACGTCTATCTTAAATATAGGATGTTGTCATGGAGCTGGTATGCAATTAAAATGCCATTTTCATAACAACTTACTGACTGATTAACAGTATTAACAGAATATCCTGAAGGGACTATTTCTGTAGTAGAACAGATCCAGTAGGAACCTACAGATGAACTATGCAGCTTCATGCCTTCATCTGCTCAGGAAATTCTCCAACAACCTACAAAGTAGTTCGTAAGGCGTTTATATTTTTTCTCCTATTAAAAGTGGAAAGTATATTAAAAATAGAGGAAACAAAAATCCTTCTCTTCAATTCTGATGTTTATCATGAGAAAAAAAAAAAGATTAACCTTTATTGGCCTTTAATTTGTTAGGTTTCCTGGATCCCCTTCTCTTATCCTGCCCCCTCAAGACCAAGCATCACTTTTAAAAATGTATTGAGGTTGAGGACTACTTCCTGCAGCTCCCATGCAATGTTCAGAGAAAACTTAAGCATTTGTTAAAACTCCCTTTGCTCATTTTCTAGAGCAGAGATTTTTTCTAGTCTTCAGCACTGGTTCCTCCACTGTCCCCATGAATGAATGAGGCATTGGTGAGGCTTAGCTAAATGAGACTCAACTCAAACATAACCCGAGTGTAGGAATTATTAGGGAAAAAAGGCAGAAGTTAGAGAACTAGGCCATATGGGAAATGTTTCTAAAGTTCACAATGGAGTTGTCCTGTTATCTTTCTGACAGCTTCTACATGAGCTAACAGCAGATGCGTGCTTAATACCTGCAATTAGTAAGAAGTTTGATTCCTTGCCTTTGGGACATAGAAGTTGACATGTTTATCCGTGTGTTTATTACTTCCTGGTTAGATTGCTACAGCAGAACACTGCAGCTTGTTCAAAATATGGCAAGCTAGATTTTCATTTCATAGCACTTATTGCAGCAACTGGCAAGTATTTCTGGGTAACTGCAAAAAGGTTTGATTGAAACCTATACAAATCTAAATGGCTAGAGTCCTCTCACGCTGATACCATCTCCCTATAGGAGGATCTGGAAGCTGCAATTGCCTGATGCATTCAAACTCACATTCCATTGATATGGAGGGATGGGATGGGTGGCAGGATACATGCTACTGCAATGGTGCTCGACCTTTTGGCCCCCTGAACTGGATGAGTGGCGCAATGTTGGTTTGTGGGCTGGACCAAGCATGAGGTTAGTGTAAGGGGTCAGTCCAGAGGTGTGATGCTGGTCTGGCCTCATGCACCAGATCCACTGCACACCCACCTGATCCCATGCACTGGATCCAGTCGCAGTGACTCCCCAATACTGGTGCAACCTAGTGCCTGGGGACTGCCAAAAGGTCCAGAAATTTGGCAGCAGAGAAGCAGCAAGGCTGCCACTGCTCCCCCACTGCTAAATTTCCAGACCTGTGGGGAAGCCCTGTGGGCAGATGACATGCCCTCACAAACTGGATCTGTCCCTCAGGCTAGAGGTTAAACACCACTGCTCTATCTGAATCAGTGTCTTTTCAATTTACCCGCCTCTTGTTTCAATATAGCCCAGATTTGTTGATCGTTAGAACACAGTACAAATCTCACACATTTCACCAGGCCCTTGCTGAGTGAAGAGGAGGACAAAACAGGGTTAATAAGAACAGGGCTGCTTGAGGAATACAGGGAAGCTGCGACGTTATAACGCTGAGGTTAGGAAAAAGTCATATAGTTTGTAAAATCTTGCAACACTGAATGTGTGACATACATAGGACTTGGAAATCCTTTTGATTTCTACATTGTATAATATGCTGTATGTTAAACTGTACACTCATCACTATCAATTCCTATCCTCTTTTTGCTGAAGTCATTAAATAATAAAAAGACAGATTATTTTTTAGCTCAAACAGTATGAAGTTGCAATGTTGGGTTCGGTCTCTCTCCTAACCTAAGAAAGAGTACACTGATCTACAAGAACCTTGTTGCAGGCCAGATCTAAGAAAAGATTTTACCTCCAGACTTCCAGAGTGTGCCGCACAGTGCAAAGGTGTAAATTTATGGACTAAATCCACTTCATTAATGTTGGTTCCACTTTTTACCATTTGTGCAAGCTGCTCTACGTCACCGGTTTTCACTGCCTCATGTATGCTAGCATAATTTTGCTTCTTCTTGACAGCTATTGAAAAATAACAAAAGGCCATTAGCCACTTGAACGACACTGTGGGGATTTGAAATATGGACTGAATCAGAGGAAGCTGACGTGCAGAACCTATCTTGGGTCTGACCTTTTGCAGTAGTAAGGATCAATGTAAAAATCAGTATCTTATCCTGACCATATTGATGGTATTTTTCAGAATGCTGGCCGTCTGATTGGGCCTGATTTCAGCCAAGGTCCCTATGGAAGTAACGAAGACTCTGCCAGGCCTAGGGTCAGGGAAGACTGAGTTAGGGAACTTCTGGAGGGGCTGGACGTGTTCAGATCAGCAGGTCCAGACGCTCTCCACCCCGGGGTGCTGAGGGAATTGGTAGGGATCATCGCAGGGCCACCGGCATGGCGTTACGAGCGCTCGTGGTGCTCTGGCCAGGTGCCAGAAGACTAGAAGAAGGCCAACATGGTCCCCATTTTCAAAAAAGGGAGGAGGGAGGACCCAGGCAACTATAGGCCGGTTAGTCTTACTTCAGTCCTGGGGAAACTTTTTGAGAAAATTATCCAGGAGCACATCTGTGAGGGACCAGCAGGAGGGATGATGCTCAAAGGCAACCAGCATGGTTTCATTAGGGGCAGGTCCTGTCAGACCAACCTGGTTGCCTTCTACAATCAGGTCACAAAATCCTTGGACGCAGGTGTCGCAGTGGATATAGTCTTTCTGGACTTCAGGAAGGCCTTTGACACTGTCTCCCACCCCATTCTCATTAAAAAGCTAGGTGATTGTGGCATCGATGCCTACACAGTCAGATGGCTCACAAATTGGCTAGGGGGCCGCACCCAGAGAGTGGTGGTGGATGGGTCATATTCGACCTGGAGAGATGTGGGCAGCGGAGTCCCTCAGGGCTTGGTCCTCGGGCCCGCACTGTTCAATTTCTTTATTAGCAACTTGGACGAGGGGGTGAAAAGCACCTTGCTCAAATTCGCTGACGACACCAAGATTTGGGGTGAGGTGGGCATGCTAGAATGGAGGGACAGGATAAAACTGGACCTGAACAAGTTACGGGGGTGGGCGAATGAGAATAGGATGGGATTCAATACGGACAAGTGCAGGGTGCTGCACTTGGGCAGTAGGAACCAGCAGCATACCTACAGGCTGGGGAACTCCCTTCTCAAAAGCACAGTGGCAGAAAGAAATCTTGGAGTCATTATCGATTCTAAAATGAACATGGGCCGCCAATGTGAGGATGCAGTCAGGAAGGCTAACCGCACCTTGTCATGTATCCACAGATGCATCATGAGCAGGTCCAAGGAGGTGATCCTCCCGCTCTATGTGACACTGGTCAGGCCACAGTTGGAGTACTATTGGGCACCGCATTTCAGGAGGGATGTGGACAGCATGGAGAGGGTCCAGAGGAGGGCCACTAGCATGATCGGCAGCAGCAGGGCAGACCCTACGAGGAGAGGCTACAGGACCTGAACCTGTTCAGCCTTCACAGGAGTAACAAGGAACAATGGCTACAAGTTGATTGAGAGTAGGTTCAGGCTAGATATCAGGAGGCACGACTTCACTGTCAGGGCGGCCAGGATGTGGAACCAGCTTCCAAGGGAAGTGGTGCTGGCTCCTACCTCAGGGGTCTTTAAAAGGAGGCTTGATAATTACCTAGCTGGGGTCATATGAGCTTAAACTTACCAGGGGTCATATAAGCCCAGTATTCAATCCTGCCCAGGGCAGGGAGTCGGGCTTGATGATCTGCTCAGGTCCCCTCCGACCCTACATCTATGAACCTCTGAATCCATGATCCAAAGGAATTTAAATGGGGGTGTTGGTTTTTTTGGGTTGATTGGTTAGTTGTTGGGTATTTATTTAGAAAGGCAGTGTTGAAAAGGCACAATTTCCCCCATAGAAGAGTTGTCTCTCACTATATCAAGTGAGCCAACAGGCTTCAGAGGAACTACACTGATTTACCTCAGCTGACAATTTGGCCCATTATGTTAAACAGGAATGTTAGTGCACTGACTAATGCAGTGAGTTTGGATTCAAATCATCCTTTCCACCGGAAAAAATGCACAGCGAGAGCTGGCAAACCTGGTGAATGTGGCATCCTGACCCCCTACAAAGTCTTTATAGTAACTTTTTATAATCGCTGCTATCTGGAGATCCCCACTCTGCAAGGCTGTCCACACACTAAGGACCTCCGTACTTCCTTCCTGCCTCCCTGCGCTGGGGCTGGGACAGAGGGGCTCACGGTGCCCTGAGCTCCCTAGCGACAGCACAGAGGCAGCCCCTGGGGGAGAGCAGAGCCACCCATTTCTCTTCCTTAAAAAGCAGCTGTTTGCCTGGAGGAACAAACGTGGTGAAAACAACATCCCATGTAGGTAACAGCTTCAATAAGGGATTCAAACAAAATATAGAAAGGAAGAGCTGAAATGAGCGGTGGGTTCATCCCCATCCCTGCGATGCAGGAACAGCTGGAATGGGGCTGGGCTGGCCGGCTGGTTCAGTCCGTTTCATCCTTATAAATCAGGGATCCTGGTTTTAGCGGACTGAAAAAATCCCCAATTTTTGGTTTAAAAAAAAGTAACCCCAAATCCACATTTTTCCCTTATTAAAATGAAATGCCACTAATATACATTTCTATAACACCACTAATATACTAAATATATATCTAATATAGTATATTATATTATCTATATATCTCTATATAATATTACACTAGTATAATAAAAGACCACTAATATACATATATGCACATTTTTTGATTAAAATGAAACACCACTAATACATATCTATATAACACTACTAATATACTAAATATATATTATATTATCCATATAATATATATCTATATAAAATGTAACATCACTAGTATAATAAAACACCTATATCCACATTTTTCCATGATTAAAATGAAACACCACTAATACCTATATAACACCATTAATATACTAAATATATAGATAATATATATTATCTATATAACACCATTAATATACTAAATATATATCTAATACACCTCTATATAACACCACTAGTGTAATAAAACACTAATATATACCCACATTTTTGTGATTAAAATTAAACCCCACCTATATATATCTATATAACACCACTAATATACGAAATATATATCTATATAACACCACTAGTATAATAAAACACCTGCTAATATAGATCCACATTCCCCCCCCCCATTACAATGAAACCCCACTAATATAGATCTAGTTAATCTCTCTAGATCTATATTAGTGGGGTTTCATTGTAATCACAGAAAAATATGTGGATTTGGGGTTATTGAAAATTGATTATTTTTATTTATTTATTTATTTTTAAATCAGAGCAAACCAGGCCCCCTGCTTATCATTCAAAACCCAACCCGAGGGAGGGAGCAGCTCGAGAAGGTGCACCCCCTCCCCCGCCCAGCAGTGAGGCCGGGCGGTGTCGTCACGCGCGCTGACGTCACGGCACTGCTGGATGACGCGCGCTGAGTGCGGGGTGACGCAGGCGCTCCCTCCCACCCCAGCCGCTCTGCTCCCGCAGTGCTGATCCCTAAGGCTCCCGCGGGAGGCGGGGATGAGGGAGGGAGGGGGGGTCTCACCGGGCGGCGCCATGGCGGCGGGGCCTTCCTCCTGCTGGGGCTGCCGGGTTGCTATGGCCACGGGACGCGCTTCCGGCGGCGGGGGAGGGGCGGGGGCAAGAGCGTGGCGCGTTCCACCGGCACGTGTGTACGGTACACCGCCGCGCGCGGCATGCGGGCACGTGTGGCTATGGATGGGGGGGGTGTACACACGTCTGTGTGCGTATAGGCATCTGTCTGCATCTGTGTGTACACACACACACACACACACACACACACACACACACACACTTCCCTCCCCCTAGCTGCCTCTCCTCTTCCTCCTTCCCACCCCAGCAGGCCCCTGTTCATGCCCTTCCTCAGAGCAGTGTCCTGGGGCGGAGGTGTCTCTCAGGAGCTGGTTCATCTCTGGCAGACCCGGTTGTAGTATTTGTGTTGCAGTAGTTCTCAATCCTGTTTCTGTAGACAGCAGTGGCCAGTCCTGACCCAGTGCCCTTCACTCATGGCCCACCGCCCCAAGCCCCGAGGTGGGGCAGGGGGAGGCATGCCCCCTGCCCCACCAAGCAGCCCCTGGCAGGCTGGAGGTCTGCCAGCCACTAGCCTGCAAAGGAAACACCACCACTGCTTCCCAGGTTTCTCTCCTTCAAAGGAGACTCCCGTTTTTAAAGTTTTGATCTATTCTTGTGCCCACTCCTGGGTCATGACACGCGAGCTGGGCACCCGAAGGCATGCGGCAGCTGCAGTTGAAGCACCAGGAGAGGCTGGCAGGGCAGCAGGGCTGTTCTAAACCTGGAACCACGGTAGAAATCATAGAGAAGAGGGGCAGGAGCAGACCTCCAGAGGTCATCTAGTCTAAGCCCCTGCCTGAGGCAGGAACATCCCTGTCCAAACTGGCCTACATAATGTAACCTCATCTAGCAAAACTTTGTGGGATTGAGCACAGTTTATTACTTCTAAATTGTAAAAGCTAGTTCCAAACAGAACAGTAGGTAGTGAAAGCAGACCGAGCTGCTATCAAGAACATAGATACTACGATGTATGCTCTCTTGTACCTATAGTGTCACAAAACGTGCTCAATTTGCTCAAGCAGGCACCAGCAGATTGATTTTCATTTTCACAGAGAGGTGCCCAGTCAATATCCTTAGTGCAGCGATAACCAAAAAACTAACAGATCGGGCACCACCAATTTAAACAATACAAGTTTAAGTCCCGTGGGGAGGGGTGTAGTGTAGGGGGGGGGAAGAGTTTGTGAAGGGGTGTGGCTGTGTGAGGGGCATAGGGTATGTTGGGGAGTTGTGTATATGTGGGGGCAGGGTGCGAGTGCGGTGGGCTTGTGGGGTGGGAGGAAGGGTGGGGGTACAGACACTCCCCGCTCTCCCCGCGTGGCAGAGCAGCAACCAGGGTGCTCAGGGGCATGGTTCCGGCCAGTGCTACACATCGCAGCATATGGCACATCCTCCACCAGGCAGCCTGTACCCCCCACTTGCTGGGGAGGAAAGCCCTGCATGCTGGAGCCAGATGCCTTCCCCACCCCCAGGGGAGCCCCAGCAGGGAAGGCAGCCAGCTCCAGCACACAGGGCTTCCTTCCTATGCCCAACAAGTGCGAAAGCTGCACGTGTGCACTGGTGATACTGACAGCTTAACAGAGGCTGTGCCCTTCACTACCATGTGTAGTACTAGTGGGAGCCACACTCCACCAGGTGCCAGTACCGCTGACAGCCCCACGTACCCCCGCCTGCTGCTGCCATGTACCGCTGACATGTTGTCTGCATACCCAGATTGGGAACTGCTGTCCTAGTGAAAGATAAGAGTTGTGAACCTGTTTTTAAAACTTTCAGGTCACTAACCATGACCCAGAGGTATAGATTAGTTTTCACAACTGTCATCATTTACTTGACATACCAAACCGAGTTCAAAGTCCAAACTTCTCTTGCAACACATGAAGATACTTCTTTAAAGGATTTAAAGAAGAAATGTAACTACATAATTTAAATGTGCCACCCTTTTACATAATAAACCAGTGGTTCAAACACTTGCACAGAAGTAGGAGACCTGAGTAGCTCGAGGAAGCTCCAACCTACATCTCCCACCTCCCAGACAGAGGCTAATCGCCTGTTGAAGCTGTGTTACTGCATGACATTAGGTTCTCATTAGGCCTGGGGTGTTTTTATCCAACAACTGTTGGATAAAATACATGAACAGTCCTTGAAGTTGAGGGTTTTTCCACCCTATATCAATGCCCTAACCAGGTATGTATTCCTAGCCCCACAAATCTTGTATCCTTTGTTTCACTGGCATAGCTTCTTCCGTAAGGGGGTTGAAGAATGCCCAAGCAGAAGAGACTTAAATTTGGTTAGGGTATGTCCTTCCATCCTAGGACATGAAAGATGAGGATCTGAACCTCCTCAGGCTGAGATGAAAATTTAAGGCATTTCCAACTTTCTGCTAAGCACTTAAATCACTATACTTTATAAAAGGAAGAAGACACCGCCGCCGCCTCCTCCAGCCACTCTGCTTCAACTGAAGTGGAACCACAACTGATTTCTGAGAAGGCTGGTCCTGCTGGCATGCGTTTCAAGTCTTTGGAGGACTTGAGCAGAATACCTACTTTCTTGAGAAGAGTACCTGCTTTCTTGATCATGACTGAGCTTTAGTAAGAGACAGGCACTGAACTGCTCAGACTATGTTACTTATGAGCATACACAGATACAGAACTTCAGGCACTTAACTTGGTTAGATTAGGTACCTTCAAAATTAGATAGCACCGTGGCAGAGTTTTTTGGATAATTTTGGACTTGGGCACCTGAAGTAGGACTTGTATAAATTGAGGAAGGTCTTTCATCTGGCTTTGCATAACCAGCAGTTGTCCAGAGGTGGGAAAGGGACATGCAGCAACTTTATTGACCTGCAACACCAGTGCAGCTGATGGCAGAGAACTGAAGTTACATTCATCTCCCAGAAACCACCCCAGTATATAGAAATTCTTAGGGCTTTGTGAAATGAACCCCTTTAAATATAAACTCAGCAGCTTTAGAAGCATACTCTATATATTCCACAGCAAATAATCCGTTAAGTAATAAATATTTAAGTAATATTTTTCCTATCCACAACTTCAATTCCCAGTCTTACTCTCACACATTCTCTTTCAAGTTCCCCCCAAGCTCCTCATGAAATAAAGAGATTCACACTCAGAAATGCTTCATTCTATTTATTACATGTAAGAAATATTAACATCTTATGGTATCCTGTTTACCATCTAAATCCAGTCATAACCAACAAAGGAAAAAGGTTAACCATGTTTCAAAATGAGCATTCATTTTCTTCTTCTGTAACTTAAAATATTTTTTCAGTTGTACTAAATGTTTTTGTGTGTTTGACTACTTGGAAAAAAAATAATAAAAAAAAAAATCTGTTCCAACTACTGAGTATACTGGTTTATTAATCAAATGGTTGTTGGCACTTGTGTCCACAATCAATCACGGTTTTGTTAACTCTCCCTCCACTCCAGAACTCTCTTTTAAGTTACTCTCTTTATATCTGGGTATGTATGCAAGTTTGTTCAATTACATTTAATAAGAAAAGAAGTCTAGGGTTGCTATTTGAGAAAGTTTTTGAATTGCTTTCCTTGATAATCTTCCTCTGAAGCCAAAAAACTTTTCAGTTATTTTGTTTTTCAGAATCCTACTTAGCAACAGGTCTAAGTTGAGGTCTCTGTTTAAATCCACTTAAACCAAACAAAATGTACACTGTCTTCATTCGATGGTGTGCATAAACATTACACTCCATATATAGCAAAAATATCTTTTATTTTATAATTTACATTTCAACAAGTGAAAATTGTACATTTTTGTTTACATATACAATTCCATATTCCATTAAATTTGCACGCATCTACAGAACTTTCACACAATGGACACCTGAAACTGTGCAGGCAGTAAGAAATTCAAATACAAAAATGTATTTATTAACCAAACAGTAGCTGGGGCCCTGCCCCAGGTGATCATTTTATTTCGTATAAAAAGTATATGCCTTCGAGAGTTAACACAACAGCTCCTCTGTAAAAAAAAAAAAAAAAAAAAAAAAAAATCATACCTCAGTTTATTTAAACTGATTCAACCTCTTCAGGCTCTGTTTTAATATCTATAGATGCAGGTGTGCTCTCTTCCGTACAGGCAGCAGGTGTGTCCACTGGTGGTTCTGTAACTGTAGGGCTGTTACAGGGCTCCTCTGTTTCTTGTTTGACAATGTTCAACATAATATTTAATGGATTTTCTACTGGGGTCTTGCTGGGAGATGGCGTGCAATCAAATGACGATGTCTGCAAAATGAAAATTAACAATCCACATAGGATTTTAAAACACACCACTTTGATAGTCTTCATCTATAAAGTACTAGAGGGAGTGGGGAAAGCAGTAAATGCATACATTACAAAGGTTCTCACCAGAATGGTTTTCAGTACTATCACAATACAGCCTAAAATAATAAATACTCCCTAAATGAATATAATTAGCATGCACAACAGGAATAAATGTGATATGTAACCATAAAGAATGCCTTTCATTACCCCATTTAGCAGACTCCTCACCCACAAAACCCCTGCTGCCAGTACAATAAGAAAAGCCCTGTATTTTCTGTTTCTAGCTTCTGTATAAATGACATTTAACACGGCAAGCTGACATGCCACATAACAGCTAAAATAAGCTAAAAGCTTCCTAGCTAGTTCTGAATTATAAACTTGCCATTACCAGGTCAGCAGTTCTTTGTCTAGTCATTAGTATTAGAATGGATGTATTCAGAGCATGCTACCCACACTCACTGCAAAGCCATAACACTCTATACAAAACAAGTTCACAACAAAATATTTAAAAATATACAAAAATAAGGATGTGCTTACATTCTGGTAATCTTCATAACATGATGGATGGTAAATCTACAAAAAGCAAGTAAACCATGTAAATGCTCAAAATACCCATTATGCAGCTGTTGTACTGGGTACAGAGAGCACTCTGACTATGCACCCAAACACCAGAGGCCTGCAGCTTCCCCACCT